TTATGAATTTTTCTCATTTTTCAATCACATGGCAAAAATAAAAATAAAATTTGATTAGCGACTTGAAATAAATGGGACAAAATAGTCTAATTTTGTTTAAAATTATAAATGGTATTAATATTCTGTCTTACTAGAAAGTTACAAATAATTCTTATAAAAAAGAACGGTTATAAAATAGAGAGAAGAAGAGAAAAAATTAGAGATTTTTCAGTAGACTTGTGTTTTATTAATAATCAAAGCCTCATATTTATACAAAAATTAAAGTTACAAGGGATACAATGGTAATAATAACTAAATCTGTATGAGTATAATTGTCGTTCATAAATACTACTATATTTACAACACTCCCTCTTGAATTACTATTTACACAATAATTATCTCACCGAAATATTGTTTGGCAAAAAATTCAATGGGAAAAAAATGTCAACAAATGAAAAAGTTTATAAATAATTTGAAGTAACAAAATGCTGCATCGTTAAAACATTGTTAAGAATGCTCAATGAGATAAAACTTGATCGAAGAAAAAAGTATAGCTACTCTCTCTGATTTCAATTCTTGTATCAATTCAAATTTGTCTTGTATATCAATGTTTTCAATATTGCAATTTCTAGTGAAATATGTCTCACGTTGTCTTGTATAGTTTTTAAAAAACACTTTCTTCACACAAGATATTTACAACCTTTGATGATCATAGTAACATGATGATTTGACAAATAACTTTTATTAATCTTTTCGGGAGTCTCATAAATATAAAAATATTATTTTGAAGGTAAATGTCTTATATGTTATGGTCGTTAATTACAAAAAGAATATGTCTCGTTAAATTCATATTGGAAAAAATCCTATGTGAAAAAATAGAATGAAAGAAAAAGAGTAAGGGTTTGTTTGGTAGTGATTTGGAGAATTGATTTTTTGACTATTACAGAAAAAGTGGGTTCTACCTATTGATTTTTTTGGAGAGAAAAATCAATACCAAACATGCACTAAATTATTTTTTTGAGTAAACTACAAAAAGTCGTCAAAAAAAAATCCATTAGAACAAAACTAATATCGCTTGAATTATGCTTCAGGCATATTAAATTTTTCAAAAATATTAAAAATTTAAAACCATACAAAATAAATTGGCTATAATCACATTCATATCAAATTTTATACATTGTCAGATTAATAAAATAGAGACTTGTGATTACATTCACTACATAATAATTTATATACTTATACAAGTATTTGCAAAATTCATTATGTAAAGAATCGTACATTTCATATTACGACTTTATTTTTTCCATTTTCATTTCATATAAATATACACTTTTAGGTTTTGGGACTACAGGTCTAGAAACTTCAGATTTCTCTAGTAAGTTCAATTTTACTAGGATTGCGTCCTTTAGTTGGCCAATTATTTTTTTCGATCAATATGTTTCGACAAATTTATTTCGATTCCCAAGTTATTCATAGATGATGCAGTACAAGCGCAAAAATGTAGTCGACAACTTTTCTTTTTTAATTCTATTTCTTTTCTCATACCCACATAACTTATTAAAATCTATCAATTTTTTAACATATCATATACCTAAACTTTCTCAAATTTTACTTTTTATTATGCATATATATACTTTACAAAAATATATGCCTCCTAAATGAGATCATCTTTATAAATTGCTCAATTTTCATTTGAATTTTTTTTTTAATATTAGAATCGAATCATCACACTTGAGACGTACCATAATATTAATGAATTGTCCTCTAGAACATTAATTCGAGTTGAAGCATTTAAGACTGGCGTATAAGATATTGTTCATCTGTAAATGTATCAAAATGAAGTATCTTTTGAACTTCTGATTTGAACTTATTTTTTTTACGAGAATCTAGATGATATTAGAATGCTCATTTTGTGTATAATTTTCAGCTTTTTAAATCATTCCTCTAATGCTGAAAGAATTGTCTAATCAAATTGGCAATCAGCTAATCGTGTTATAAAATATTGCTTATTTGATATAAGGACTCAAAATATGTATTCATTCTCAACTTTCTTTACATTCCATCTCAGTGTATTATGGTGGATAAATCGTACATGTATTGCATTATCAAAATAATTAGATGAAAAAATTAGGCTATGACTATAAGTCAATTACATTACGAAGAACTATGGTATTAGCATGATGCTTAATAGAATACCAAAACATAAGTGGGAGCTTTTTTTTTTTCTCAATACTAATGATTAAGAAATTAATTGGAAGCGTTTAACATACAATATTATTAAATGATTTATAGACATCACGACTAACACTTATTAAAATGTTGAGATTTATGCTCACTAGTATTAACAAGACACACAATCTTAATTGTATAATCTGAAAATTATGTTTATAATTTAAAATTTGAGCCACAACGTCACAAACTTCAGGTTGTGAAAACCAAGCAATCATCTAGTAGATGTATTGAATCTATTACATACAATTAACATTTAGATGGTCAACGTGGCCTCATATATCACCCATATTAATATAGAGAGTTCACTCCTTATATTAGCTAGCGATTATCAATGATTTATTTTTCAATAAAGAGAACAAATAATGTATAGGAATTCATTGAATTAAAGAATCTTCTAGTTCTTTGTTGAATGTACATTTGAATTTTCATTTCACATCATTATTGATCCAGTGATTATCTAACTATGCATATCAAACAATAAAATATAAAAGTTATTGAACTTCAGGTTCAATAGAATATTTATCAAAATGGTCACTGGAGTTTAGTATAATGTACCGATGAAGAAACACTTTTAAAAGCTTTGTAGATTTTTCTTTTATTTAATGGAGATCAAATTACTAGCAATAGTAAGTTTATTTCTCAAAACAGTATTTCTCAAAAATATTTATATTAAGGGCATATTTGAGCCACATTTTTTCAAAAAAATACATTTTTAAACAGTGATTTGACATCATTTCAACAACGCATTCTTTAATAAAATAATATTACATGCAAATAAAAAACTTTTCCTTATTTTTTAACAACACATTTTCCATCAATACACTATTCAAGAATGCATTATCACCAAAATAATGTGGCTCAAAAACCCTCTAATAAAATATTACTTCTTTAAAAAAAATTAATTGAAATTACAATTATTAAAATCGATATAATATTTACATTAAAATGTCTAAAATGATTCCTCAAAAATAGCCACATAATATTCTTCAAAAGTATCAATGAATGTAAAATTTTGTTTCTTTTAAAGCGACACATATTCTTCTACAATATTGATCTGTACTAATTGATTCAAACAATTGTGCAATATGTTTATAAAATATTTAAATGTCTTAAATCATTTCGTTCAGGAATAATAATAATATCATGTTCATCAAGAGTAATAACATATTATTGTTTATAGTAATAAATTATATAAGGATTTACTCTTAATGAGTGAAAGCATAATTTATATTAGATCATATATTATTATGCTCTTCGAGAGTAAGAAAAATCTAATTAGAATATTAATGGGATTTATAATATGCTACTTCGAGAGCACACTATATTTTATTATTGCCTTTTCAAGAGCAATATGTCAATATTCTATTGAAAAATTGAAAATTATAATCCATGCTCTTCAAGAGCAAATAATGTTCTTATAGAATATTAATTATAATGTTACACTACTTCAGGAACAATAACATGATGGATTATCAATTTAAAGTTTATAAAATAATATCTAAAAATATTTAATTAGTTTAAAAATATTAATTATCATATAGAAAGGATATGACATAAAAAGTAATTGCCAAGCAGATAGGATATGAATTTATATGCAAAAATTAATTACGAAACATGTATTAGGAAAAAAAATCTTTTATATACAAAAGTTAATAGAATTGACTAAATATTTTACCAACATACAAAAGATACTAAATGTGCACATGAATTCCACGTATACAAAAGTTAAAGGCAAAAATAACTTCAAAAAAAATTTCACATCCACAGAAGTTGAAGGCCTGAATTCTACATCTCAAAAGGCATGAATTGGATGCG